GGAAAGAGCTTTTTTCGTCTCAAATGGTGTTCTTTGGAATAATTTTTTTCATTGTTTAAAGCACTTGTTTTCTGAAGGTTCCTTCACTTATGGTGTTTACTCAGTCCCTGTGTTGGTTCATGTAAGAAACATTTTTTGATACTGCGTTTTGAAAGAATTAGGAAGACTTTATTAATAATCTTAATTGTATTGATTCTCTTAAATGCTTTCATTTATCCTGATGTCTAAGGGGATATAATCTCATTCATTGTGTAGCTGTAGAGCAAGTACAAAACTAAGTTTGTGCTGTTAGCCCAGTTATGTTCTCAGCATCCTTGTACACGGAATTTTTGAATGACCTTTTGAATTTGTTGGAACAGGAACAAGAGTTGGTGAGCAAACGAGTTGTTTTTTTTTTTGCTTTTATAGATTACCATAGTTTAGCTTGACGGAGATTACTCCCCATTATACTCATTTTGCTCCATTTTTGAAGGAGCATTTCTGTAATTGAAATTAGTTTTCTGAGTGAGTCTTGAGCTTATTTCTACTGAAATTATCTGAGAGCTGATGTAACCATTCCCAGACAAATACTGAATTGTCTAGGGAGTCAATTATTAAAGAGATTCTAGAAGTCAGTTTATGTAAAGCATAATAACTGTGTTACTTCTTAAGAGGGTACTGGAAATATTTACAGAGAAAGACATAGGCTTAAGGTAGCACCTTAATTTGTGTAAAAAGTAGTAAGACCTTCAAAGAATGGTATATGTTATAGCTGACTTGTCTCTGGAGTGTTTTTATGTCTTTTTTTGTGTCCTGCATTTATACCCTTCCTGTCAAGTATCCCATTGCCCTGATAATCTTTGCTCTGTAGCTGAACAGACTCCTAGAGAAACCCTGGCATATTTCCTAAGATATTTTCAGTCTTACTTTAAATATTGATTTTAAATATTTGTAGGTTGCAGTAGGCTAGGACTACTCCCAGGTTCGCATCTGAATTAGCCATAATGTAATTAAAATTAATAAAAATTCCATAGAAATGTTTTCAGGGTAGTGAGCGCTAGAGAACACGCAATAATGTTTTTGCAAAAGTAGCAGAAGTGTACAAAATGGAGAAAGATGAGAAACCTATCCAAGTAAATTGCAGCACTCAGGGGAAAATCAGTGTAATGGGGAAAGGGATGTTACACTGTAATTAAAGGAAACATTCCAAAACAGTGAAAATTAATGTCTTGGCTGTACCTTTTATATAGCTGCATAAGAAAATTTTATTCCTTCTATAATTCTGTGCTTTATGTTTTTGTAACAATTAGCAAATTATCAAATACTGAGGTCTCAATATTTGGAAATCTTGTCACAAGAACTTGGGTAACTGAGGATGGAGCAAGATGGTCTCACTTTTGTGGAAGCGTGAGATCTAATGCTGGGGCCAGCTCTGCCAGCCACCAGAAATTCACCATTTCTAATGTGGGGGTAGGATTGATTCTGTTTTCCAAGCTGGTCAAATTTCTGTGGTGTTTTTTTTGTTTTGTTTTGTTTTTGTTTTGTTTTTTTCTTTTTCTTCCCCCACTTCTGGACCCGTGTGTATGGCAGTCCACAGAAAAACTGAGGATTTCAGGGGAATGTAAGCTCTTTTAAACCAAGACCTTTTGAAACACTGTGCTACGTGCTTCAGTGTCTAACAGTTGTTGAAACAAAAAAAGTTAAACGCCTGAATGTGTTGTGGTACTGGGCTTGAGGACTTGATTTTCTGTGCATGTTATTTCTCCTGAGTTGTTCTCAAGGTTCTCATGCTTGGAATAATTTTCTTCTGTGGCCAATTTCGTAGTATTTTATAGTCAGTTATGTTTTTACAAGAGCTTGGGAAGTGATTGCTGCAAAATTTCAAATAATTAAGTCAACTGCTTTCTCGAGAAAGTATTTTGGCTTTTGCACTTGGTTTTTTAGGCTTTAATAATACTGTGCTGTGCTTGACCTTTATTTTTTGAAAAGGTTTTTAGTGTTTTCTGGAACTTTTACTTTTGCTTTGTAATGAGCAATTACAATCAGGAATGTGAATACTGTAACATGAATGAGCAGCTCTGCTCACTAGTCAAAGCCTAAGGAAAATAGGGTTTATTTACATTTCTTGGCTTCTTATGAGGTTGTTAAGCTGTTTGACCAGTTACGGCATTTAGCTCTTTCTGTGTATCTCTACTAGTTACTGGATTCACTGTACAGCTGGTCTTGTATTTTTGTCTGATACTGCCATTCCTCCCTTTCAGTGGGATTTTTAGAAGTAGCCGTTCCTTCTGTTGATGAGTTCCTGATTGACTGACTTCCATAGAGAACTGTTTCCACACGTCTCATATGTACCATAGCATAAGTCAATCTGTTTTTTTGAAAATCAGCCCTCGATCAACTTTATTACTGAAGTGTTTAAGTAGCATTACTGTACTTGAATACTGTTGAATTTTGAACATTTACATAGAAGTAACTATTGCATTTCATTCTGTTGAAGGATTATTTTTTGGGTCAGGACTTAAGAATCTCTAGAGTATATATTTTTATGACTGAAATCTTTGCAATGTAATTTAGCCTGGTAATTTGATTGCTATTTTAGAGCATGGTAAAATTGGTAATGGTACTTTTGCCAAGGAGAGTCACCTGCAAGAAAATATTTAATATAGTACCCTGATTTGAGATGAGTGGTGGAATTTGTTAGTAAGCCAAACAAAGGGCACAATTTCATAAGCATAATGGGAAGTATTTGCAATCATATTATGAAAAAAAAAAAAAAAACAACTCTGAGTGCAGTATAATTCCATTGAATTAATTAAGGCAGAAGAAGATAAGTTTTCCAAGAATTAGGGGATGACTGGAAACTCTTGATGTCATGTTCATCAGTCATTAACTGTGTGTAATGTTTCAATAAATTTCTCAAATGTAAGCATTCCAGGATTATATTCAGTTACATAGATTTATAGTGTAACATAGTTATGATGATACATCAACTGGATGCATGCTGGGCACTTGATAACTGGTGTGGATTCTACAATAGCTCTAAATACTTCATTGCAACCTTAATACCGTCTACCGATGGTACATGATTTGCACCTTTTTTGCTTCGATCTTTTGACTTCAAGCATGCCTTTTCTGTATGCAATAGTATCTTTCTGTCTGCTTACCTTGGAGATACGGAGAAAGTCCGGTATCTCTGTGGTTTGATGCCAGTGAGTGTATTCCAAAGCAGTTTTTAAATACAGTGACTGTATAGCGAGAGTTAAAAGATTTGTGGTATACTGTAAGTCAGCTGTTTGTTAGGGTGTCTTGGTTTAACCCAGCCGGCAGCGAATACCACATAGCCATTTGCTCACCCTCCCCTGAAACCAGGACATATAAGGGGTGATTTTTTCCTGTTGCTTTATTTTTATTATACAGCTTGAAAGAAATTTTAGAAGTAAAAATGTCCTGTTTGATTTACTTCATTTAAGGTATGCTGTTACTGTCATTATGCAATTAATTGTGTAACTTAAAAATCATAAAGGAAATGTACAGGAATTAGTTTGATACTGACTCTCAAAAACAGTCAAAAGAAGAAAAAAATGTTTCTTAAGCGTGAGAGAATGTTTTATAGGTCATTGCTAGTTGATGTGACTATATTTGATATAAACAATGTAGTCTGTCTTCTAATACAAAAATAATGTCCATGTATATATTGCAGAGATATTTTATAATAGATCTCCTGACAGTCTGCCACACGTTCATCTTCTAGATATGACCTGATTAAAGGGTTAGTGTTCCTGGAGATGAAGAATAAGATTTGGAATATTTGACTGTAAGAAGGTGTTTCAGGATATGTGAATGAAGACTTTGGATGACTGCAGATCTTAACTCTAGGGCAAGTTAGATCAAGTTTCTAGTGAATTAAAAAGATCTCCTACTCCTGTATTCATTAGACTTTTGAATTGTCTAGTATTAAAGGGCAATGATCAGATTGAGTTATATAGTATTAAAATCTTGTAATCTCTGCCATGACCAGAAGGTCATTTGAAGGTTTTTGAATTTTTAGGCTTCAATCAGGTCATAGTCCTCAATCTTTATAATCTTTTTAAAAATAACCATGAGATTCAGAAGCTTAAATTCTTTTGGCATTACAAATATAATGAGAATCACAAAGTTGTGGAAATTGTCAGCATTGAGTAGGACTGACATGCACAGAGACTAGAAAGCATGTGTAAATGAAGCTTGGGTTAGAATAAAGATTGAATGCAAAAAAGCTGCAACTCTCGGCAAGAAGCATTTTAAAATTGACTTGCTTTGCGTATGTACCACAGAGCTTGCTGACATGAGTTGGCTGGGTTCACTGGAGACCCGCTTTAAGTTATGTCTTGACCCTCCCATCTTACTTCCTCGCTCTGCCTTGGACCCTGAGGGACCTCAGAAATTTAGGAGCCAAAGATGTAAGAAAGGTAGATGCAGCAACACTGTGAAAGATGTGATTACCAAGGTATGGTCGCTCCAGTGTTGAATTAAATTAGGGTATGGTCCATAGTACTAAAGCATTCCATGTGCTGGTTATTTCTAGGGGAAGTCCTCCCAGGTTCATTCTTTTTAAAAAATTTACATACCTTTGAAAAAAAATCACTGCCTTTGTCTTATTTTTACAATGGCATGTATTTAATTTTGAATATATTCCCTAAGAGTACCACCTTAATTTACTAAAGATCCAATTTTCTTAGTTTCTAAGGAATGTATTCATCAGATTGAACACTGTAAATAAATTGTTTGAAATATGTGGCATTCGAGAGGTAGCTGTGCCGTTCTCTTTGCTTGCAATATGTGGCATTCGAGAGGTAGCTGTGCCATTCTCTTTGCCTGCGTTATGATACCATTCTCTTTGGTTGCATTATGACAATATGATTTTAATAATGTTAGAAAATGTCTAATGGTGAGACCTACGTTTGCATCATTCTCTGTAACCTTGGGCTGATCACCTCTCCCTTAACTGTATTTTCCATGTCTTACAAAGAGGTTTTCAAAGATGAAGTGCTGTACAATTGCTATATATCATCATTGTATAATGCATTTGACATAATTAATATATGCCATCTGCTTGTTTACTTGTCTCATTTCTTTCCTCAAAATAAGGAATACACTGGGTCTCACCTTGCAGTCATGAATATATACATGACATTGAATATTTATTTGCTCATGTGTAAATCACCTTCAGCATTGTGGAATGATGAAATATTGGTGATTCTGTAGCATTCATTAAATTCTGCATTATCATTTAGACACCAAATTAAGAAGGTGTTCTGATTCCTCTTTCTGTTTGTTTAATAGGTTTCGTTGGAAAACTGTGTTGAGGTTGGGCGAATTGCCAACACATACAATCTCACGGAAGTGGATAAATATGTTAATAATTTCATCTTGAAGAACTTCCCCGCATTACTAAGTACAGGTGAATTTGTGAAACTCCCCTTTGAACGTCTTGCCTTTGTGCTTTCAAGTAATAGCCTTAAGCACTGCACTGAACTTGAACTCTTCAAGGCGGCTTGTCGCTGGCTGCGGTATGAGGAGCCTCGGATGGAGTACGCTGCTAAGCTGATGAAGAACATCAGGTTTCCACTGATGACGCCCCAGGATCTTATTAACTATGTTCAAACAGTGGACTTCATGAGAACTGACAATACCTGTGTAAACTTGCTTTTGGAAGCCAGCAATTACCAAATGATGCCGTACATGCAGCCGGTTATGCAGTCGGAGAGAACTGCCATTCGGTCAGACAGCACTCACTTGGTGACGTTGGGGGGAGTGCTGAGGCAGCAGCTGGTTGTCAGCAAAGAGTTACGGATGTATGATGAAAAGGCCCACGAATGGAAATCCTTAGCTCCCATGGATGCACCAAGGTACCAGCACGGCATCGCTGTGATTGGAAACTTTCTTTATGTAGTTGGGGGCCAGAGCAATTACGACACAAAAGGAAAGACGGCGGTTGACACGGTCTTCAGGTTTGATCCTCGCTACAACAAGTGGATGCAAGTCGCTTCTTTAAATGAGAAGCGCACCTTCTTCCACCTAAGTGCCCTCAAAGGACATTTGTACGCAGTCGGTGGTCGAAATGCAGCGGGTGAGCTAGGTGAGTGGTCGTCCTGAAGCATGGCTTCTTGCCTTGCTTTTTGTGCCTTGAAATACTTTGCTGCCCTGTTAATGGGTGGAGAGGAAACAAGTTGAAGTTGTTGATGTGCAGCTTCTTTCTGGAAACACTGCAAATGCATAAGGAAATTTCTCAGGATGCTATTAGTTGTTGATTTTAAAGGCTTCCACCAAAAAATTTCCAAATACATGCATCTTGTGTACTGACACATAATATCCAGTGTCTTCACTTTTATCATCAAACATGAAGTAACTGTGTGTGTCCATACATACACACGACTGTATAAAAAAATCATTATTTAAGCTGAGAGACCAAATCCACTCTTTTCACTCTTAAGGGATACAGGACTTTTTAACTGAAACTCACTGTTGAATGGAGGTTGCCTTTTAAAAGACGCTAATTGTCTGGAATAGTAATTTTGAAATGTTAGTGTGGTGATTTGTTTTGTTTGTTGTTTGTTTTTTTTAAGTGGGCTAATGACCGAGTGGTTTGTTTCACTCACAGATCAGTTGTACATTTGTCTGTGCTTTAAAATTTAGATGTTACAATGATAGTGCTTGGAATTTTAGCATCGTAATATATCTGAGCCATATGTAACTTTACGTTATTTTGTTTGCTGCTTTCAGCCCAATACTTAATCATGCCTTGTCAAGTCTTTGTGGCAGTACCTCTCGCAGTTAAGATTTGCTTTTTAGAAATGCACTGATATCTTTAAGTGCAGTGAGGAACATGTTTAATTGAAACAATAAGAAACTTAATTTGTGTTGCAGTCTGTGACTTTTATTTCAGTTAATGCATCTCAGTCATTCAAATATACACTTTTTCATGATCATATTGCACACTTTCTCAGGAAACATAGTATATTTCTTCCACTATACAAAACTGGTCTGGTTTTGCTAGAAGTTCAAAATCCATTCTAATTTTTGATGAAATGAGACATTTTAAAATGCCTCCTTTTTCCAAAAAATGTGGGAAAGTGTTTCACAACAGCTTGTTTTCCCCAGATAGCCATTTTCTAATGCAGATTCTGAGATTTTCAGTTTTTTCTTACGTGCCACTTTATCTACCTGAAAATACATTTGAAAAGTAAGCTTAATACCCTGCAAAAGACCAAATGTACAAACTAAAGTGTATTGATCTTCATCTTGAGTATCATAAAAACTGATCTTCATTGACCTATTTTCTAATGGTACGAATTAATCAGAGTGCTGTCCTTGTGTACTGCGCCATCCATACAAAGTAGGGTTACAAGAACGTTGTGAAGAAGTTGAAAGTCTAACAAAATCAATATGAAGTAATGCTATTAGTAAGCCAGTGCAACCCGTGTGTACAGCCAGCTTTAAGTGCGGTGTTTTTCTTAAATTAGATCATACAGTATCGTTCTGCTGACCTCAGGCCTTCTGCAGCTTTAATTAAAATACAAAGTCTGTCACCTGTCTAAAATGATACTGTAAAGATATCATTAAAATGCTGCAACGATTCCACACCGACCTGAAAAATGTCATTGGATCATTCTGTGGGAAGAGCACTTTATAAATGATAAATATTGTAGCAGTCTGATGCTTTGATTTGGGGCTTCAGTTTCTTTTCTTGTTAATTGTGAGGCAAGTCACTTTTCATTTTCATGTTTCTTTCATAAACCTTGACAGCCGAAAGATGAGATCCAGCTTAGACTTCCCATTCTCTTCAGATGAGAAAAACTCTCTTTGTAGAACAGAAGGTCAAATGTGTGTTGGACAGGTATTAAAGAAGTTGCCCTTGGGTTCAAACTAATTTCAACCTGTTGTTAGGGAGGAAAAATTCCCAAAACCTGAATTCAGCTTTCCGGAAGATCAGCTTTAGCGGAAAAGGGCCGAAGGATTGAAGTTACTAAAATGAATTTCTTTATTTTTTCTCTGGACATTCACTGGAGTAAAAACTGTACTTCTTTGAGCCTTCCCGAAACAGTTTTCAAATGTTTAATCTTCTGAGAACTTTGTAAATACACTTTCTACCTCGGTGGTATGTGCTTTAGCAGTAATAAACAGCTGCTGCTTTAACAGTCCGTGCCACTGAGAAAGGTTTGGTTCATTGGTAAGGAGGAGTATGTGGTACATCCATCTGAATGCGGTAAATGAATGTTTGAAACATACTGAATTATGAAATTATAATTCAGATTTTCCAGACCCAGGACAATTTAGGACCGTGCAGAAGTATGCACCACTCCTAGAAGGATTGTACATAGTTCTGGTTGGTTCTTTTTAAATGTCAAAGCAGGCATCCACCAAAGGTGTTCCCAGAAGGCAGGGGGAACAGCACTCCAGCGTGAGGAGGAGACCAGCCTGGAGAAGGCAGGTGTGCAAAAGACAGGACAAGACATTTTTGGAAAAGGAGACAAAGGGAAAACCAGGTGTGGTTCACAGACATACTCATGAAGCAGAGCCCATCAGCAGTTTCCAGCTGTGCTGTTGTGCAGAGCCCTGCACACTGCTTTTCAGACAAGTAGACTTGCAGCTCTTTTTGAAACAGTTCAGTTGTGCTGCTTGATGATGGTGGCAGAAGCTGTGCCTTCAAGTATTAGAAAACTTGTGCGGTTAGGTGTTTTCCAGATACTTCAGGCTCTGCTCTTGATAAGCTTGAGTGGAGTTTGAGATTTTTATATATGGACTTTTCCAAACGACTTTAGGGGATGGTGGGTTGTGACTGAACCACAGATTCATTGATACCTTCATTGTCGTGCTGCAGTAAAGACAGAAGACTTCTAGTCCAGGGTAGGGCAGCTGTGTTCTTCTGACCCCCGTGCTGTAGGAAGGCATTTATTTTAGGGGTGCCCTCTATGATGCTTAACCCTCGATTCAAACAACTCCTTTATGTAAAACTTCTGTTGTGAGTCTATATATTATATACATTTTAAATGTTGTTTGTTAGGAAGAAAAGTATGCATCGTTACCCAGCTGGGGTGTTTGCTGTCTGTGTAGCACTGTGAGTATCAAACCAAAGTGTGAACTGGAGGATCTCTGGCATAGGAGCTTACTCTGAAGTGGCTCCTTGTGTGGTAGGTACAAAATTACTCAGAGCTCTGTCTAATGTAACCAAGTCAGCTTTGAGTTCTGCAAAAGCAAACTGTATTATAGAAATAATATAACAAAATGAAGATCCTGGGTTTTGGGACATCACGCAGTTTTTTAGTACTGCTGTAATAAACCTCAAGACACAATAGAAGCTACTGACAGAGAAGTGGTAAATATCTGTATACTCCTCAAATAGCATCACAGATGGCACTATAAAATCAGTGCAGACTGAGCATCCCTTGGGACTGCCAAAGCTTTGTGTCTTTTTGAGATTGCTTAATTCTGTTAAAATGAGGCCTGCCTTCCCTGGATTATGGTAATGAACAGATCAGAAGTTCCACTGTTAAACATAAAGCCTGATTTGAATCGTTCATGCTGTTGGGAGGATGAGTCCGTTAGTCTCATGCTATATAAGATGTATACTTATGTTCAGTAAAGTAGCAGTTTTTTTGAGTGTTTTGTGAACTGTGCTCTGTCTGGAGATGATATACAGAACATCCTGATGCCTCTTAAATTGACAAGCATCTTTAATAGCTGGAATTTTAAATATTTTTTCCTTGTCAGTGCAGAGGGAGGTCTTGTTAAAAGAGAGGAACTGAATGACCTTGCAAGGTAACAGGGAAACAACTACATGGAACAACCAAACAGAACTGTGGGGTTTTTCCAGCTGGGAAGTGATTAGCTTTGTTTTAGAGCACAGTAGATTTGAGATGTGAGTTGGGGTGGTTTGTCTGAAATACTGTCAAATGGTACTTTAGCTGTACTGGTGTAATGTTTGGGAGAATTTTGAAGCCACATCAGAAAGTGAGGAATCTTGGGCTTAACCTCATCGTTTCTCGCATAACTAATGTCTTTACAATGTGGTGATAGTGATGGCAGTAATTTGTACCAATTTCTGCATGTTTTATCTTCTCTTTCTAAAGTGATCTTTTGGCTGTGGTTTCTCTCCTAAATGCCATCTGTAGTGCAGAGTGGGATGAACAGTTGTCCGGTGTTGAATGCCATCTTATCTGGTTGCTGATGGCTTTGCAATTGCTTTGTACGTATTCTGCTCTTCCTGTCCTTGTAGTGTATTAGAAATCTAAGTTCCTCACCTCAGCACAGAGTGGAAGCACTGTGGGAAAGAGGATGCCTTTGTTTTTGTGAAAGCAAGTAGAATGATGATTTTGGGGCAGCATAGCAGTGAACAGCAGGTCGGAAGGGTCTGCTGGCAGGGGAGAACTGGGACAGCTATAATTACTTGCGTGTCAAATCTGGTTTTCTTTGTTCTTGAAATTTCTGCACATCTTTGTGTTCTTCTGATTGCTAAGTAGAGCGGAGTAGAAAGGCGCTTTCCTTTTTAGAAAAGAATATTGGAATGGATGAATATATTTATACAAGAAAGCATGGGTTTATTTGGGGATTGGGCGAATAGTGCACTGCATGCGGTGTCAGGATGGGAGTACACAGAAATACAGCTCATGGATTTAATTTTAGGTGTAATTTGTGGAATCCGTTCTCTGTGCCTATACCTTTATTTGGGCAAGAGGCTGTCTCCAGCATTACACAGCTTTATGGCTGTGGAAGTCCTTGATGGATATACGAAGTCTGCAGGATATCAAAAGGGAAAAATACAAAAATTTTTAAGAAGAGATTTATTAAAAAAAAATTAAAAAATAATCAAGACTTGAAAAATGTTCATTCGTATAGAAGAATGTTTGACTGCCCTTTCATACCTTGCCTTATGCAGACTTTCATCTACCTGTGCAGGTGTGTGATGTGAAAAGCAGCTCGAGGCTCATTTCAAATGGCCGAGGTAGGAAATGCGGTAACAAGAAGGCTAAATTGTAGGAAAAGTGTTTAATGAAGGACTGATCTCTTAAACTTGGGAACTTGCCCGTATTGGGCAGGTTTTTTAAAATCACAAATTTGGCATGTCAACAGTAGTGTATAGGTTACACTTGACTTCAGTTACTTTGCGTCAGTTTTTTATCGTCCATCTTACAAAGCTCTGAGATGGCTGGTGTAACTGGGAGTCCATGTGCAAAACAGAAGCCTTGCAGGGTTTCGTTACTTTTTATAAACAGTCTCAACAATATGAAATTAATAAAGAAACAGGTATTTAATGTGTTTTGCCTTGTATCATGAACTTCATGTTCTGGACCAGCACTTTTCTGCTGAAGAAAATCCAGTGTGCTGTGACAATTTAGCAATTCTTACGTGCAATATAGATTGGTTTCTTTTTTATTTTTAACTTTAGATGATGTTGTATTGGTTGTCAAACGTTAGTCTTGACATTGGAAATGGAAGCTTCTATTTTAATTGTGCCTACTTGAAATACTAATTGCATGGAATCACAAAATATCCTGTTTTATAAAAATAAGGAGGTCGTGTGTTGTACAGCAGGTAGAAGATAATACAGAGGGTCACTGTAATGTGCTCTATTCTGAATTTTTCCATCACTAGGGATTTTTTGGTGGTGGCCTGAGACCATAGCTTTGCCTTACTCTTCCAAAATGCTCTGAGTGAAAGGGTTTTTTCTAAAAGACAGATCTGGAGGTGCCTTATAGTCACTATATGAGTGTTACTGGTTCGCTTTACTGGCCTTGCCAGTACTGCTAATTCTGCTGTCTTATACTGACAATAACTGGTTTCTGCCTTTAAAATGGCAAGTTTCTAAGCTTCTAGGTTTTTTTTGTCTCTTTGAGTTGATGTGTAATCCTGGACTGTAAGTCACCATCACTGATTCCATAGAGCTGGCTCAGATTTTCTGTCCTTGATTGAATTAAAAAGCTTGTTCTAGAACGACTAAAATGCCACTTTCAAAGACACATTCAATTTTGTACGCATAGTTCATAAACATCGCTCTTCAGAGATTAAGCATTGTATAACAAGCATTAGAATCTGATTCTTAATTTTAATTATTTAAAATAAGATTTAATTTGTCTTTAAGATAACTCAATTATTGATAAGTGCTTTGTGCATTGTAAGGTCACTATATTACAGGGTTTTTCGGCATCTCTTGCCCCTCTGGTCATATTGTGCTATTCAAGCTGCCAATCCCTACAGCTTTCTCAGACCCATTCTTAAATCTGGTTTCTGTTTCTATTCTTCTCTCTGCTTATTGCCTAGCTCTTTTCCTACAACCCCACATCTCTTTCATCCCGCTTAAAAGAGAGGATTCCTTCTCAGAAATTTTTTCTGCAAGGACACCTGGGCTCTGAGTCTCTTTGTAACTTAGTACTAACCTCTGAGATTTCTGATTTGATAAAACCTTTGATCATTTTAACGTTCAAATTCACAAAGAAAGTTGCACAAATGGAGCTGTGTATCGACACAGGCACTCCTCTCCATTTGAGATTCAATGATGTTTCCTCTGAGTCTCTTTGTAACTTAGTACTAACCTCTGAGATTTCTGATTTGATAAAACCTTTGATCATTTTAACGTTCAAATTCACAAAGAAAGTTGCACAAATGGAGCTGTGTATCGACACAGGCACTCCTTCTCTCCGTTTGAGATTCAGTGATGTTTCATCTTGTATTTTTTTAAAGCTTGGCTTTTGTAAACTGTTTGAATTAGTGACTTGCATATGCTGTGCTGTATGTTGCTGTTGTGAGTACTTCATAAGCCATTGCAAGACAGTAGGACATCAGTCAACAGTTGTTGCCCCCTTTTGAGGGCATAGGACCATTTCAATGCAAAATACAAAGAAGAAAATCTAGCCTGAATTTCTGCATGGGTGGGACATTGCTGAAGACATGGGGCTGTTCTGGCTGCCAGATGTATTGGTCTTTGAGATAGTTCTAAGTTGATTCCCTGTCTCTCTGCAGCAGACACTGAAGGGAGCTGTACAAGAGCAAAGGACGGAAAAGCTGAATTCACCCATCTTCGTTGCCATTTCCTCTGATGTCCCATAGCTGTAGCTCTGGCAGGGTTCCTGAGCTGGGGCAGGTTGTAGGAGTGGGAATGAGACAAGTGGAAGGGAAGAATGCAAGACGGTTTTTTTTCTTCCTTTTTGTTCCTCTGGGACGAAGCTTGAGGTTTTTCTGTATTGTCTCTTGACATAATGCTCAATAATTCCCTTGACACTTTCTCAGATGAACAATGTTTCTCATTGATACTTTCTCTGTGTATGAATATATTAGTGCCACTGCGACTGCACTCAGAACCAAACTGCCATGCTAGCTTCAACATTGGTGTACTCTCATTTGTTTTAAACAGCCACTGTGGAATGTTACAATCCCAGGATGAATGAATGGAGCTATGTCGCAAAAATGAATGAACCCCACTATGGTCATGCTGGAACCGTGTATGGGGGATTAATGTATATTTCAGGTAAGTAATTCATATGATCATATCATCTCTATGAAACAATTACTTATCTAACTTTTTCTGTTTCAGTGGGAGACAATAAAAATTACTTTCTGGTTACAATAGGTTTGCCATGGTATAAGCAGTGATGCAAATTCATATGAAGCCAGTCAAATAGCATATATACTGCAGAGTCTGAGAAAATTATTTGAGATAATATTATGCATTTACACAGTAAACAACAGCTCTGAACTCCAAAGCAGTTATTCACTTTAACTATCAGAATAAATTTTTTTGTGGCAGCAGCACATATATAGGTTTATGTAGCAATAACCATTAAGCACATCCCTCTTTGGTCCATTTTGGAAAGCACTGGAAATTTTAATACTTTAAAGAAGAACATGCCTTCGTTGACCTGATGGAAGGGGATAAGTTTTCATCTTAATCACAATATGTGAATGATGTCTGTACTTTTACTGGTATTTAGTTTGTAATATGCTCAGTCAGATATGGCACCAAGGTTATAGTTTCATTCCATTTTTTTTCCAAACTGGGGGCAATAGGTTTTTTGAAAATCCAGTATCTGCTCAGTTTTTAAAGAAGATTCAATCTGTCTGTCAGTGGTCTCTACAGAGAGACGTATTAATGTTCTTCTGCTGCGATGTTAAGGTATATCCTCCAAGAACTAATCTGAAATTCAAGGTGGAAGGTGGGGACAAGGTGGTTTAGCTGTGAAGAACTGGTGAGGAGATGCACTGGAGCAGATAGATCCTTGGGGCATTTTCAGTCAGGGAGCCTTGTGCCAGTAGACTAGGAGAGATTTATTTTAAAATTTACCGCAAGGTACAGCTTCTTATTTTTCTATGAGCAAGTCTATGAAGCTAGCTTCTAATCATTGTGCTGCTGTTTGTGCTTTTCTGTCCGTTTGCTTTGTTTTACTGCAGGTGGCACATGCATATGCTCCCTGCTGTGTTTTTTCATATAGATGCTGTGTATTTTCCACAGATTTTTCTTTTCTTCCTCCTATCCTCTTAGATATCCTTATGGGTTTAGACACTTCTGGGGTTGAAAAAGTTAAGATTGGTTCCTTTGTCATTAAAGCCTCCTGTCTCTGACAGTCTCCCGAGCACTGCCGCCACTATGACTGTCATTGCGTCAGGGTTGGACAGTCCCTCTATTTTTTTCTGTATTTAATTCTTACTGTCCAACAGAAGAATTAAGTACTTTCTTGCGTAACTCCTGCAGACACCATGCCATCTCTGTCTGCTAATAATCCAAGCGTGGTAATTCAGTGTTGAATGGTTAGCCCAGCAGGAGGTTGTTCTGTAGCAGTGTGTTCTCTGCATATTTTTTAGCACCTCAAATGTAGTTGCATTATGGTCTTAAACCATAGCTAATAAGCATATAGTGTCTGAAATTGGTGTGACTGCTTTCTGGCCTGCCTAGTGACCTTGCAGAAAGGTGGGACATTTCATCCACTGATGGGAAATCGTCCTGTGATTTCCCCTGAAGCCTCTCCAACTGCTTTTGCAGGGAACCATGGAAAAGGTAAATATAGAGAGAACCATAGGCATCTGTTAACAGAAGAATATTTGAAATCTGTGTCCTCTCTTTCTTCAGTTCAAGTTGATGAAAAAATTTTCTGAAGAAAATTCTGCTATGTGATAGAACCACTTAAATCACAATAGCACAGTATCAAAATTTGAAAGGGAAGCGGATTCCTGTTTTCTTCATGGTGAGAAACAAACCTAGCAAACTGAACAAATGTAAGCAAATAATTTTGGCAAAATGAAGCATAGGTAACACTTTTTTGTTCTTTTAATCTGCCAGTGTCATCTTATATAATGAAGTACTGTGAGACATAGCTTCTTTCCATGTTCACATTTAAAGGAACAAGGTACATTGAAAATGTCATTTGAAATGGAGCACAGATGTGATAGTAATCTAAGCTAATGTGAAAAAGCTTTAAGGAAAGTTGAGTTCATTCATGAAAATATGTTTCTGCTATTTATTGCTTATTAGGGTGAGCAATGCTCTAACGTGTGTTTTGTTTCTTTAGGGGGAATTACCCATGATACTTTCCAAAAGGAACTTATGTGTTTTGACCCTGACACAGACAAATGGACTCAGAAAGCTCCGATGACGACAGTCAGAGGTCTGCATTGCATGTGTACTGTAGGAGACAAGCTATATGTTATTGGTGGAAACCACTTTAGAGGCACGAGTGATTATGATGATGTTCTAAGCTGTGAATATTACTCACCAACTCTAGACCAGTGGACTCCAATTGCTGCCATGTTACGTGGGCAAAGTGATGTTGGGGTTGCTGTCTTTGAAAATAAAATCTATGTTGTTGGAGGATATTCTTGGAATAATCGGTGTATGGTGGAAATAGTTCAGAAATATGATCCAGAAAAAGATGAGTGGCATAAAGTATTTGACCTTCCAGAATCACTTGGTGGCATTCGAGCCTGCACTCTTACTGTTTTCCCACCAGAGGACAATACAGGGTCACCATCCAGAGAATCTCCTCTTTCAGCACCTTAGAAACATCCCTTGACTTATCATGTTGTAGTAACACCTTTGCACTGCATCATGGAGTCTATTATTTTTCTTCAGTAGTTTCTGTTAGGCTTAGCCTACAGCATTTCATACAATTACTGGAAAAAAAAGAGACTTTGACGTTATTTGTGCTGTTTGTTTGGCCTAGAATGTTTGTCAAGTGGTTAACAAAAAAAGATGTACTCACCCGAGCCAAATGTTTAACAAATGAGAAGATATTGTCTATAAAATGTATGAACTAGGTACGTTATTAATGTTGTGTATTGGGTGTGAGGTACCTTATAGCTTACATTTGGAAGCCCAATGAGTCAAATTTGAAGACTTGAACACATTTTTTCACTAAATTTCATAGGTGAAATCCTTTTTCCTTTCAATTTTGACTGCCGATTACAAGGGGAGGTAGACCACTTCAATGTGAACTATGACAGAAGGTTGCCAAGGGGCCTGAGCTACCTCCCTCTCTTTGCAGAGTATTTTTGACATATCTGTTTACCCACCTGACTTTGTGGGTGCTTTCAGAGCATATGAAGTTTCTTAGTCAGAGGGGAGAAATAAAATAATTTTAAAATATTAGCACTATAAAGGAAGCGGACCTTGCAGAGGCCGGGAGTTTTTTATAACATATATCAAGTGTTTTTCCTGAGTCAGTTGATGATGCTTCAAACAAGATTTAAAATATTTGGGGTTTTTAATTTGGGTTTTTTCAGGAATTGGCTTCCGCTTGCATGGGAGCACACACTATTAACAAATGGGAATTCAGTGCGGTTGTATATTCTGTTATATGCCTGTACTGAATATAGGTAGATAAGGGCTAGAAACATTACCTTAAGCCACTGAATTTGACCAAATCGTTCCATCAGATCAAATTTAATCTACCTTTTCTCCTTTGCTGTTGAGATAACTTGCATATTGTGTCCTCTGTATAGTCTCAGTTAATAAGGTTATTTAGCACAAAGTGCAGCTTCAGCGAGAGAGCTGCTTTTGCTCAGTGAACTTGGACTACCACATTTTACCTTCTTTTGTTCAATAAAACTTTTAACTGCAGTTATTCAGTCTAAGCTACCTCATTAATGTATTTGGTTTTCTTCCTCTGCCTCACTGTCTTCAGGATACACATTACGTATATCTGTGTGGGTAGTTTCATTTACTGGGAAACCAATGCAGAAGTGATCGTGAATGGGTGTGTTTGACCTACTTCTAAGAAACTGTTTTGGCCTGATGTGTTCATTTTATTGTTAAGGACTGACAAAAAGAGCGAACTGTCTTAATTTTTTTTTCCTTGGAGAACTACTGCTTATGTGTGCAGCCATGCAAATTTACAGAAATCTTGATCTGCTCCAAAATACAGTGAACTACTGACAAATTACAGCTCTGAGTGCTTATAGAAGGCTAATATTATTGTTCTCGTTCCAAACTTCCCATTGTATGTTACAAGTGGTTTTGCTAATGAACACAGTCAGAGGGGCATCATCTGGGGAAAAAGTGTTTAAATCAGACTATTGTGCTACCTAATACCAATACCCGTGTAAAGCTTAATAGCCTTGAGAGTATGCTATGTGTATTTGGTCCCTGCTTGATGAATCAAGCAGCTGTATTACTATGGTGTCAGTTTTGGAAGTACTGATATTTAATCTTTATGCAGTTTATTAGTAATAATCACTACCAAAATGTATGTGTAAGCTTTCATAATTGTTTTGGTTAAAATCAAAAGCAATTCTTCCTCTTCTTTAAAAAAAAAAAAAAAAAAAATCTTAATTCTGTGTAGCTGTTGAAAGTTGTTACAGGTGTAATAATGGCACCAGTGGATACTCTTGGAAAGTAGCCGGTCAGGATGAATTGACTCATCACCTTAGGAATACTTGTCTAATGCTGTGCAAAGCACCAGATAGGAAAATGTTGCTCAGTTGTTTTAAGTAAGTGTCAGTAATTTAGGTGTCATGTGCTACTGATTCTTTTTTTTTTTTCAAGCTTGGAGACCAGATTTTAGAGACTGCTTGAGTTTAAATGCCCTGAAATACATATTCCATTTCTATTTTATTAATTAAACTGAAAAGTAGTTGAAGTAGTTTGATAATGTAAATATATCCTGCTGTCTGTATGCTGGGAATAAGGAGATATCCACTTTTAAAGTGTGCATCTTCACTGGTATTCTCTCTTTGGAAGATGCTAAGGGTGGATTCTGATCATTTTGAGATGGCTAGAAATCAGGATGTCAAAGTTTTGTGTCTGAGACTTGAGAATAGCCCAGCAGCTGGTATATGGCCACAATGTAGAGACTGAATTTTTTTTTTAGTGACTCATTATCTCTTCTACTTAAAGTAGAAGAATTATTTTTGAGCGTCATTTTGTTATCAGTGTTGGACACAGCATAGTGGATTAAATGTAGTGCTTCAATCAAATTAATCTTTAAGGTTTTTTCTTGTATCTCCCTCTGGATTAAAGTGTTCCTAATGATATCAGTTAACACCTACTCACCAGGATGGAAAACCAAATATCAAAGATTTGCCGAAAACTGTAACCTGTTTTCTTCTGTAATGCAGTGTAAAATGACTTGATGCTCATTATATCTTTCTTAAACATAGCATAGCAAGCCCGTTCTGTCTCAGAATCCACAGCTATAGGTGTACATATAGATGCAATATCTCTCACATAGCACTTTTTGCTTTCCATGCTCTGTGAAAATGTTCTTTACTTGCACAGTCTATGTAGCTTCTCAATTTTTTCTTTCTTTTGTATTTTAATTAAAATGTGATTGTTCTTTGTGTACACATGTGCTCAGGAAAGAAGTCTTAAAATGCAGAGTTATGTATGCTTGACTTAATGATAAAATTTTGGGTCCCATGAGTATTGCAGGACCCATTCGGCTGTGGAAAGGTGATCACAAGCTAGGGAATAAGGATGACTTTACTGACTGCCATGCTTTGTGTGTTCTTGTTGCCAGTCTTTTAAACATCATTAAGTGAACTTCTTTCCTCAGTCCTAGGCTATATCTTTTGGTGTCCAGCTCTGTTGAACCTGCTGATTACCTATTCTAGGGAAAATGTGGTGGGATTTATTCCAAAATGTATCTTACTCAGTGAAACAACATGTCTAATGTTTGTCAGGAATTCCAGCATCAGTGGTACTCAGGAGTTCTCTGGATTTATTTAATGACCAGGTGATTTGTGGAAGGTGCAGCCCAGATAACGTGGTGGTGGTGCTACAGCAGGAGCTCTACGTGGCTGATGTTCCAGAAGGGATGATCTGGAATGGGGATTGCTTCCTCCTCTGTATTATTTTGGCTCTTGAATGCTGTTTTTTTCCCCCCATCTTTGGGAGTGTTTCTTTGGGAGTGTTTATTGCTGCTGTTTGGGTTTTTCCACTTTCTATTCATGAAATGAGTAACGCTTCTCTGAATTTGTAGTGGGACCAGTTGTTTTTTTCTGAGCTATATGCTGTCAGGCTATCCACATACCCATCAAAATTTTTCTGTTTGGGTCTCTATTTCCTAAGCATCTGGAAGAATTCCATTTGCAATGTGAAAAGATCTCAGATGAAAATGTATTTGGGACTGGAAGTACACAAAGCTGGTAAACTTGAAGAGAAAAATTATAATTCTAGGCAAACCTCCCTACTTTTTTGTTTTTTTAGAGTTCGGCATGGTTCAGAGGTTTATTTGGACATTGAGCTCCCACAGACTGGAGTGATTTTTTTTTTTTTCCTAATAATAATTTGTAGTTGGCTTAGGTGAGCCAGAGCTCAGTTTTTCACACCTGCTTGCACTCTTGGCTGGTCTGTCGCTGTGTGAGCATTAGGTGTTCTTCCTCAGACTGCAGCATTCGCTGGCTGGGGTCTCTTTTCTCTGGGCAAGTGTAAAAACACCTCTCCTGTCTTCCATATTGCCTGTTGATTGAGTTCCAGAATCAATCTGAGCTTTGATTCTTACATCTAAACAACATTGTGGCAATGGCCTACTAAAGATCACGTGGAGCTGTGGAACAAGGACGATGGCTTTGACATCTCATTTCCTGCCAACCCCTTGCTGCTTTGCAAGCAAATATGCCCAAACCCAGCTAAAAATCCATGTGCAGGAGGCAAATCTCTTAAGGCTGACCTAAAATTTTTGTTACCCTGGCATCTAAAGACTACCAGAATCTCTGTCCTCTTTTCAGGGAGGCTTGTGTGCCGGAGCTATTGACTCTTTGGTATGCGCTAGTTCTTTCTTGGCCATTGCTTCTACCCTTTCTTTCCTGGGTGCTTGTATGGAAGGAGCAGGAGGGAAGGTCAGGGTTTGGTCATGCTTTCCAGATCTCAGTAGAGAGCAAGCTTGTTCACTGTCATCTGTCTGCCCAACGCTGTGGGAGAAAGAACTGTAGGAATGTTTCAGATTTTAAGCATTAACTCCCAGAACAGTATCAATTAATGAAGGAAAAAAATTAAAATTGGTGCATTTTAACATGTGTTCCCCATGTCCAGGATTGTTCCAGAGTACTTGACCTCTGTTGAATTAACAACTTTGCCTTTACCTCCTTTGTTCAACATCACTGTAAAAAATTGCTTTGTTTATTGTTTTGTTTCTTCTCCATTTGTTTTTCATTGCTTGTAACCTTTTCTTAGAAGCATGGAAATTTTCCTTAACATGTTTGGTGCGCCAAAATAAACACACCCCTGATCACCTGAGTCCCCTCCCCATGTTTCTTCCACAGTGCCTGCCAGTGTATCTTCCCATATTTTTACCCAAACCGTTGACAGCTGTCAATAAATCATTACAAAAATCTCATAACTGCTGCTAATGGGTGCAGGCTCCTGTGCTGTGTTGTTAGGTATGGTAAAGAGGGGTCATCCCTTTTATTAACAGTGGAATACATCTGAAAAAATAACTTGCTTTGGAGAGCAGGCCTGCCCTGGAGCAGACATTTAAATGCAGATTATTTTGGCCTGTGCTTGTTAAGTGCAGTTTCAAATATTTTACTCTTGGATATATTTTTGCAAGTAGTGTATATGTGGCTTTTTTATAGCGAGTGTGTATTTCTTGCTAATAGGTGGGTAGAGCACTGGCTTGTGAGGTTTACTCAGCCCCTGCCGCAGGGCTCCCTTGCTGCCCACGAAGGCTCCTCGAGAGCGATGCTCTCCCAGCTTCAAAGGAACAACCTTGTGTAACTAAAGAACCTGCACCAGGGACAGGAGAACTGAACTTGGATGGAAAATCAAAGCAGCTTCTTAATTGCAGTTAAAAGAAAGCCTGTGTTTATAGAAAGGGGAGGGAGAGTTGCTGTCCCTAAGGCATTTTTTGTTGGGAGTTCAGGGTATTAACAAAGAAAGGATTGTTGCTGTAAATAAAAACAATTAAGTAAACCCCCCAGCCTGTCCCCAAAACAGAGACAGATTGCTTCTGTTAATATGCAACACTATTAACATTTAACTGTGTGTATATATGGGACCTCATGTTTTCACATATAACAAATGCATCACTTCTCTGCTGTAATCACATGAATGATGCCCTAGTTCCAATGAGTCATGGTGTGTTCTTCATAGTAAATTCTGAATAATGTTTTAAAATTATACAGAGTATTAGAGGACATAATTTGGGGTCTTTTTTAAACCATTTTAAAAGCCATTTTCTGTATCAGACTATTATAGCATTTTTGCATTTACTCAAACCCAGCAAAGACAACATGAAATGTCAGGTTTTGGTTCATCGTTCAGGTTTTTTGGTGTTGCTGCTGGTGCTTTTCACTGTAGAGATTTAAGGAGGAGATGTTTCTTCCTGTGGCAAGAAGAAACAAAAGGAAACTTCAGATGCCAACCAGATTGTAGTGTATTCTGTCAGCACCTCTGCAATTTGGGACAAGTTTGTGATTTACAATCCTATCAAATTTATCTTGTTTAATAACCCAGGAGGTTTCCATTTGGCCTGCAGTGACTTGGTGCTGGGAAAGGAAAAAATCAAACATCTTTGAATTATTCCTTGAGCTGTGACTTTTCTCCTATGCTGTGGAATAACAATGCTCACTTGTCTGCACCAAGGCAGCAAGCCTTGAATCCCATTTTCTTACACCTGCCTGGGGGACAGTTCCACTCCCTGCTGTGAGAGCAGCCGCCCAAAGCCAAGGACCATCGTGCGGCCACCTCAGCCCTGGCTGGGCTCCTGCCTACAGTGCTGGGAAGCTGGTCAGTGGAGGGAGCGTGAGTGTGTGACGGCAGGGGGCTGCTGTGCCCGTCTGAGCAGGGACAAGCAAGGTTCGTAATGTGGCTCTTGTGCAGACAGTGGAGCCCTGAAGATCTCTTCATCCAACAGTGTAGAAGAAGGATTTATTTTTTTTAATCCTTGATTGTTCATAGGAATAATTTGAATTCTCCAAAGCACAGGGCAAACCTGAGCTGCAGTCATTGCATGTAGAGGTCATTGTCAGAGGATGTCTAGACAAGACCACCTAGTTTTAGCACTCATCAGCCACTGATTTTGGAGAGGGTTGGGTTTTTTTTTTCTTCCATTTTCTGCTTAGTCCTTAAATATTTCTCACACGTTTTGTCTCTCATTCTCGGTAGGTTTGGACATTCATAGGCTAAGCACTTAGGAACATGACTGTGACCTCCTCCTGTCACTGAGCATGTGCCCTGTACTTGGTGATGCTGATGAGAAAAAAGCCCTGTTTGCTCTCCCCCTTCTTACTTCCTCCCTAAAGAAAACCCCTCCTATTTGTAAACGTACATTTGCATTAGACCAGGCATTAGATCTGGGAGTTTTAAAAGATGTTGCACATTCTAT